ACTCTATACGAACACGCATTCCAGAAAGCAACCGAGGACGGCGTCAAGTTCAGCGTACAACGAATCGTTAGACGACTCAAGCAGGAACTGGCGCCCTCCGAGGCCATGGTCAGGAGTGCGGTTCGCCAGGAGTACAGACAGGTCCTCAGCAAAGCGAGGACCGGCGTTAACCCCCAACGCTGGTACGAGGAGTGGCAGTCTGCCTACCTCCGAGCCAAGACGTACGATATCCCGGAAATTGATGGAGAGATCGCCGTACTCGACTTCCTGGATGCGGTTAAGTCCAGACTCAACCCTACATGGGGCCAACGCACCTATGAGACTTTCCGCGAATCAATGGCGTTCAAAACGCACACCAGGACCCTCGACGAGATTGCGTATGCGTTTAGCCTGGTAACACAGGAGACGCACACCAAACGCCCCTCAGGCCAAGGAGGGGCTTACTCCACTTTCGCTGGACGCTCTGACTCGTCTGAGAACGCAAATGACAAGGGGGACGTTAATTGCCCCTGCAATAACGCACACCGCTGGCGGCCTTCGGCGTGCCGAAAGTTAGAATGGGCACTTACAAGCCGTAACACCAGCGGTTCCCCAATGCGAATGACAGACAGCCATGTGGAGGAAGTCCTTGCCGCAGTCAAATCAAGCAAGTGGAAATCACTCCACGGTGAGCTCAAGAAAGTGGGTTGGCTGAAAAGCGATGGAACCCCGAAGAAGCCTCGGCAACCAAAGGGATCCTCCAACCAACCTACAGCGAGCTCATCAGCAGACCAGGATGACGGCCACATCGTCGCTGTACTCATGAAGGGTCAGGAGGCAGAGATAAACGCAATCTTCAGTACCCCTATGGGCGGCGCCCATCCACTGTCCCAGAGCACGGTAATGGACAGCTGTGGAGCAATGCATCTAGTCAACGATAAGAGCCTACTTGAACCCGGGAGCTATGTGCTGTCAGGTGACGACGACTACGTTGAATCCGGTACTACCACACTGCCTGTTACCGCACGCGGCACTCGTATCATGAGAGGCGTTTTGGACGGACCTAAGGGGGAGGGAACATGCGATCTGAGGCTTCAGAACGTCGCTTACGTTGAGGGATTCCATGTCAACATAGTCTCAGAGACTCTCCTTAACAGAAGCGCACTCTGGTACTGCGGTCTGGATTGCACTTTGCGACAGGGAACACTCCGCAAGAGCACTGTCAAGAAGCAACTCATCCGAAAGAACAACCTAGTCTTCCTCGAATACAAGCTCCTCCAATCCTACTCGTCTTCCGCAAACCTCAAGCGTGTCATGCAGAGCCCAGCTGGTATTATGCTACCAGTCAGCCGGGGAAAATTCCGTCGCTCGTACCAACGCACCCGTGAGAGGTCTGACAGCGCGCTCCTGTGGCATCTCAGAACCGGTCACCTCGGACCTAATGCCCTTCGTCAACTCCTCTACAAGACTCGTGGTGTGCGTATCAAACCACCATCACAAGTTGAATGTGAGGCATGTGCAATATCCGAAGCCAAGTCAGTAATCTCAAGAGGACCACCCTCAAGAAGAGCCTCACGGCCATGGTACCGTGTGCATTGGGATCTCTTCCATTTTGAGCCATCTCTAAGTGGACGACAATACGTGCTCATAGCCTCAGACGAATACAGTGGGCAGCTCAGGGGGTTCCCTTTAAAGAGCAAAACAGAGGACGAAGTGCTATTCGCACTGCAGAGCCTCGAGGCGGCAATCCGTCGTCAGAAGGGAACTCCAATATGCTTCTTCAGAAGTGACAATGAGACCGCCCTCCTCACCGCGAACGTCAGACGCGCTTACGAGACGTGGTGTGGTGAGCTGGGAATTGGAATAGAGCTTCCACCACCACATACGAAGGAACCCGTGGGCAATGCAGAGAGAGCAGGTCAACTCGCAATTACCAAAGCTCGCAAGATGCGCCTTTCTGCGAACCTCCCTGAGATTCTCTGGGACGAAGCAGTATTGGCAGCGATCTTTATCCATAATATTACCCCACGGGAGGCCAACGAGGGAGATTCGCCCATCACAATGGAAATCAACTGGCAGAAGCGATATCAACGCTGGTGGCAGACCGGCCACCGAGTGCGGGATTCCGAACCGGTTACCCCGCATCTTGGTGGTCTATACGCATATGGCTGCCGAGCATACCCTCTTCACAGGGATCGTGAGAGGGGCATACGTCGGAAGGAGTATAAAGTGCTTCCCCGCGGGCATATAGGATACCTGGTTGGATATGTGCCAGAAACGCACAACCTATACAGGGTCTGGGTGCCCGCGCTCGAGCAGGTGTTTGTTACGAGGAACGTTAGGTTCAACGAAGAAGTCTTTTATGATTCCGCACACGAGGAGCAAGCTATCGTGGGCGAACAAGCAAATCTAGTAATCCAAGAGATGCAAGAGCTCTTCAACGTCAACGACGAGCTGGTTCGAGCACTCGGGGAAGTGGATCTGGACTTCGGAAATACCAACACTCAAGACAACTCTGTGGTCGAGGATAGTATTACTGTTGGATTTTCAACTGTTCAGGACGCTGAGCAACCGACAGACGTACTGCAGGGTGCGGTTAATGATGCTGACGAGGCTGACACAGCCTTGCCGGCACTACCAACCCCTGAGATGACCCCCTTGCGCGAGCTCGGGGGTGGGGGCGAGGAAGGGGATGCAGCAACCGGGTCACAGACGGCTCTGCGCAGCCCACAGTCCTCCCCACGAGCGCTTACACATACCGCGGAGGTTCTTGAGCCCTTAATTCCTGACGGCTCTCAGCAGGAAGCTGAAGCACGCGGCAGACGAGGTGCCGATCGCGAGGATACAATTCCTGACGCTGAAGTCGACGTCAGCAGGGAAACCTCACAACAAACCTCTACTACTACACAAGAGCAGAGCACACAAGAATTGCCTCAGCGGGTGCCAAATGAAGCTCCGTCAGGTCCCAGACGCTCAAACCGAGCCCGCAGACCTCCACAACGCTTCGACGGCAGCATCTTTGCGACACTCTTACATTCGAGTACAGAAGACGGCGATTACCACAAACGCCGCTGGGACTGCTTTTTCTCCACCTTTATGCCTGATCAGCAGAAAGCAATAGAGGAAAGCAGTGTAGGACACACAACACTTCATCAAGTGTTAAAAGGAGCAGTCCACAGGACCTACCTGGAGCGCTCCAGTGTGGAACACAAACCACACCCCAACAAAGCTGACTTCTCAAGCCCACCAAAGAAGTTCAGTGATATCAAACATCTACCGCAGCAACTCCAGGGGCTGCTCAGAGAAGCCATGGATGCGGAAATGAAGAAGCTGAAGGATATAGGCACATGGGAAGAGGTCGACCGTGATCCCAAGCAAGGGATCCCACTTCCATTGAAGTGGGTGTACACTTATAAGCACGACGCCGACAACAAGGTCTACGAGGTAAAGGCACGTATATGTGTGAGGGGAGATATGCAACCACTCGATCCCTTACAAAATACGTACGCTTCAACGCTCGCCGCAAAGGCTTTCCGGCTTGTGATGGCAATAGCTGCCCAATTCGACCTCGAGGCTGACCAGTATGATGCCATCAACGCATTCCTCAACGCGCCCATCAAGAGCGAGAAACCAGTGATCGTTGAACTCCCAGAGGGATACAAAGTCACTGGCAAAGTAGGCAGACTCCAACGCGCTCTGTACGGTCTACGAGACTCGCCAATTTTATGGTTCCAGACTTTCACATCTATACTTCGTAGTATGGATATGATTTACAGCCACGAGGAGATCTGTATCTACCAAACCGCAGACAGGAAAGTGATGCTGGTGTTCTATGTCGACGACTTCATAGTCCTATACCATCGAGACGACCAGAAGGCGGCTCAGGAAGTCGTCGACGGCATAAAAGAATACATCAACCTCAAGGAAAATGGACCGATCAACTACTTCCTCGGAGTGCGGATTATACGAGACCGTGCTGCCCACAAGGTTTACCTGGTCCACGACGCATACATCGAACGGGTTGCTAAGCGCTTCGACCTCATGGATTCAATAAATCCAGCCACCCCTCTTCCGCAGTACGAGTTCAGACCAAACGAGGGGCAGGCAACGAAGGAAGAAATAAAAGGCTTCCAGGAAAAGGTCGGGAGTGTGCTTTATACGGCAATTATGATCAGACCAGACGTCGCTTTTGCTTGTTCGCAATTATCACGGTTCCTGACCAACCCAAGCGCAACCCACATCAAAGCAATAAACCAGTGTATCCGATATCTCTATGCAACAAGGTATCTTGCGCTCTCCTACGGCAGCGTACCGAGTGCGCAATCATTACTTCTAGCTGGAGATGCCAGCTTCGCAGACGACGAGGCAACACGACGATCATCACAGGGATACATAATGTTCCTTTTTGGCGGCCCAATTCAATGGAAATCAGCACGCCAAGCGACGGTTACAACGTCAACTACCGAGGCTGAGCTTCTTTGCCTTGAAGAAACCGCAAAGGAGACCATGGCTCTGAAGCGCCTTTTTATGGACATTTCTCTTGACCTAGGAGAAGTATGGTCAGTCAACTGCGACAATCAACAGACGATTCGACTCGTCGTGGGGGAAGGTGAAAGAATAGCTACACGGCTTCGTCATATCGATATACAGAACATGTGGCTCAGACAAGAGCACGCCAGAGGCAGCTTCAAGGTTGCTTATATGCCAACAGAAGACATGCCAGCAGATGGACTTACCAAAAACCTTTCACGAGCCAAGTTCGAACACTTCCGCACACTTCTCAACCTCTACGATGCGCGAGAAATCATCATAAACAGCCAAAGTAGTCAGAAGTAATCAATTTGGGCCACGCCCAGAAAAACTCAATGCCCGAAGGCAGACGACAGACCGAACCCAGAGTGCGGCCCGAAGGCCCAAAACAAACAAACAAAACTTTTCCTGGCCCGAAGGCCCAAAACTCCCAAAACAAACTTGCCCCGCAGGGCACACGCACACAAAAACACGCCTCGGGCTTGCGCCCACTATTTGAACTCTTGGTCCAAGAAGAACGAAACCGCCGGAACCATGGCGTCGGCGGCGAGGAGGGAGGAAACGCGCGCCAGGAACCGCGCCTTGCGCGCCTCGAAGTCCTCGAAACCACGGGCAGCCGGAGCAGCAGGGGGAGCCGGGGGCGGAGTGACCGTCAGGTCAACGACCTGGGGGGTGGGAGCGGGCGGGGCGACAGGAGGTTGGTCGTAAACGACCACAACACGCGCAACCGACAACACAGGCGCACTCGGGGGAGGGGGCGGGGGGCTCGCGGGGGGAGCGAACTTGTCCGCCCAGAAGCGGATGTGGTCCTCGTACTCGCCCTGGTGGGCGATCATCCAGTTTACCGCATTGCGGATTTTGGAGATTTCCTTTCAAACCCGTGTCAGGAGTGCGTTCTCAACAACAGCAAAGGACAATGTACTTACAAGAGCGGAAGAGCCGCCCACGATGGCCTCCGTGAGGGCCCAGGCCATTGGCCGCATGACGATGGGAACGTCGACACAATGTTCGGCCGAACGGCCGTTGAAGCAGCGCGCACACCGGCCACGGCTTCCCACGAGACACCGGCCACCGTCCTCACGGTCGTTAAACCGGAGGGCTGCCCGAAGGCAGGGCAGGCACTGGACATCCCGCTCCTCGGGAGCCTCGCCCTGGAGCTTCTTGGGGACTAAGCACACGTCAGACAAGTCCTGAATAGCGAAAAGAACCAACCACACTTACCGCGGGGCTTGCCTTTGCCTCTCGGCGTTCTCTTCTGCTTCTTGCCGCCCTTCTTGCGGACGGAGCGGGCGGAGACCTTGCGCTTCTTGGAGTCTAAACAACGTCAGAAACGAACCTCGAAGATAATAGCACACCACATACCCTGCTCGGAGAGCAGTTCGTCCTCATCATCCTCCTCCTCAGACTCTTCCTCGCTCCCGGACTCCGAGGAAGGGGGGTCGGTGAGCTCTTCAGAGCTACCGCCACCGCCTTTGCCCTCATCATCGCCCACGTCCTCACCACCGACGAGAGCCTCGAACTCAATAGAGTTCTCGGCATCATCGCCAGCAGCCGCAACGTTCTCCTGGCTAGGGAGAGAGAGCTCGGCAACCGGGGCCACGAGCGCGGGGGGGCGGCGCGGGGGGGAGACGACCTCGAGGGGCTCGTCAATAACGTCGTCTGTCCAAACTTTTAGCCAACCGCACATTGCGCACACGGGACACATCGTAGAGAATGCGCGAAACTTACTGTTGCTACCGGACATGTTGGATATTTGTATCTGGAATAAAATTAGCAAACGGATCGACGGCGCTGGCGCGCGCGCGCAGCAGACGGGGGCACCTACGGCAACTGCGAGAGGTTGAAAGGAGAAAGGAAAACAACAGCCAGGCGGCGCCGCGAGAATTTGGATATACGCGAGGCGGCCAGGCAGCCTCGCCCTCACTGATTCACACACCGGAAGCAGCAGACTACGCGCTATTCCTGGTTGGGATCCCATTCACTTCAGATGAGGGAGCTATTCACAACAAACGCGCTCCACAAGACGCGTATCCCTTGCGTTTATTTTTCCTTTGTTTACATTCGACCAAATCGGGCCTTTGTGAGGGTATTCAGAGGTTCTATCCTGGGCACAATAGCTCCCTTACGGCAGCAATTGGGGGGTGTGTCACGTAACAGGGATAGTAACCGCAGACCGCGAAGTGCCCGTCACGTGCTGTATCACGTGTATATCACTTACATCTTGCATATAGGCCTTTTTCTTTTGTCTATTTCCACTTTGATAGGTTAAGCCACTTTACCAC